ATCAAAGTCCAAACACATAATAAAATAATGTATATCACGTTTGATTGTCAATTCGTATGAATTGTATTGCAATATTTTTTTGGATAAACAGCTTTTATTTGTTAATCTGCATTAATACTAAGAATAAATATATGTGATGATAATTAGTTAATGGTAGTGTGAATATTAAATCAGCTAGTGTCTACAGAAAATCTATTCTATCATCTGCTAACTTAAATATACAGACTCACTTAAACAATTCATCGGGAATCTTTAATACATGACGAACTGTTGTTCCTTTAGATCGAAATACAGATCGTTCAATCTCGCCCATTAGTTCTTCTTGTTTTGTTATCTCATCCTAAGGAAAAGATACCACTATCAAATGAGTATTTTTTTTGAAAAATAAAATATATGAACATAAATCATCAGATACATACATGAAAGATAGCCATCATTCTGAGAAGAGCTTTATATTGATTTCGACCATTGAAGTGAAAGGGATTAAAGCTGTAGCAAGTTCCGTAGAAAGAAATCTTCCATCCGGGAGCATATTCAATGCATAGAGAGTCATTCATGTACCTGAAGAAACAGGAAACATGAATATCAAAAAAAAAAAAAAAACAATTATACTATTACTTACCGATCACCTGTTGCGGATTTTGTTATTTTTGCCGAAGATGCATGGCTTTCAATCCAATCGAAGTTAAGATTCAAAAACGTCCTCTCATAAAATTTTAAAATCGATGAGATTTGATATGTAATAAATTTCCGTTCGCCTATATTTCGGTCCATTGTAGAGTTTACATCAACAAGATTATAACTAAAAAAGAATCAGTGGTCAATATTTATTTTGATTAACAACATCAGATACTAACATCTACCTACAAATCAAGAAGAACTTTTTCGCAATATAACCGAAATGGTTCATTCAGAACTTCAACCTGAATTGCAGTTTTGAATTTTTTTCCAGTTTCTTTAAGAGAAGTATCAACGTATTTTTCCAGAGCATCCGACCACACAGCAGGATTGATGTCACGAATAGAGGATAGCTCAATGGCAAGCTCCTCGCCGATTTCTAAGGTCAACTCCGAAACAGATTTATCAAAAGCACATATAACAGAGATATCTTCGGAATATCTGGAGGAATTTGCGAGTTAAGAGACTATTAGAATTTCTCCATTTGTTAAGTGATACACAGCGAGTAGGAAATGGGAGACTTACCGCTGAATTTCCTCTTTATTCCGCGGTCGCTTATTCGGAGTTGTTTTCAATGGAGTTAAAACCCGAGGAGCTTGCGGTGGGGTTCTAGGTTGTGGAGATTCCGTCGATTGCGAATGAGCAGTACTATTTACTCTCCTCATCTTCCTCTCTTCGTCTGAATTATCTTCAGCGTAGTTAACGCGTTTCATTGGTCGAGGCGATCTGCGGACTGAAGGTTCTCCCTGCAACATATTCGCAATTAAAAAAATTTTGTAGCTTATAACTGATCGTGATTAAGACCTATCTTTTCTTTACCAACGTTTACTGATTCTTCAGCCCACTTATCAACTTCCGCGTTGGTAACTTTAGCGATACCTCCTTGATATTTCGTGACGCACTTTTGCTTATAAAGAGAAAACAGTGATTGTAATGAGCTCATTTTCTATAGTAAAAAAAATAAGAATCCAACAAATATGCACTCACAAACTGAACTTCGCGACCGGTCTTTTGTTTGTTGATCGTTTCTACATTTTTATAGAATCTAATGCGTTGTTTTTTCCACGTCTCAAAATGAAAAGATAACATTAGTTATAAGACTTACACGAATTAGCTCGAAACGATTGGGGAGGAGTGGTTTAGGTCCAAGCAACCGCAGTCCCCAGACTTCCAAACTTGAGCGACCGCAGTCCCCAAGTTTGCCACCGATCAGGGTCATATGAGCGACCGCAGTCCTCATACGCCAGAAGTAAGCGACACGCAGTCCCTACTTCCTTTCAGATACTAAGTCCTCTCCTAAACGAGAGGCTCTATCCTCCAATTCATAATATATAAAATAGTTTACTTACAACCCAAGTGTCTCTAATGTCCTTCAGAACACGCGTCGTATCTTCTTTAAAGAAATTTGATTCGAGTACTTCCTCCAAATCTTGGATTATCACTTGATATACTTGCGAAAGTTGGTTATTTGGCATTTCCTGCTGATAGTAGTCGAATATATTATCAGCAGTTATAGAATTAATCGCAGATACGACATCGGGCTGAGTGAGAAATCGGAAAAGTGGTCTTCTGGAGAAATGTTCCACTGAAAACGAAGAATTAGTAAAGTTGCGATGGATCAGACGAAAGACTTGTTCTACATACTTTTTTTATCGATGCAAGTAGAAAAAGAACAATTCGCGTAGAAGAAATTCGTGTAGACAAAGTACAGTCAGGGAATATACCAAATTAGAGAATCAATGTGTAGATCATTCTAGAAGCACGTCTGAAATGTGTGCCAGGTTTGTGGCGCAGCAAAAACCTTTAAAGTTCGTTAATGTTAGGGTTAGCGTG